GGGAGAAGGGATTTCGTTTTGCTCTAATGAGCTGTGTCTCAACCAGCAGTGAATTTCTCCCAAGGAAACCACAGATACCACAAAAATCACTTTTTAAAAGGTTGGGTTGGTTTTTTAACCAAAATCAATCTATTTTCAAACAAATGCAAATGGTCTCTCTTTCTAAATTTGGGTTTCCGTGGCCAAGCCCCAGTTTTCCATAACTTATCTAGTCTGTACTAGTCGCAACTGTCATCATTACTTCTTAATTTCTAGCAGGCTTTTTATTCTAACAGCTTCTATAAGTTGGGAGTAAGGTCTTGAGTTTCTTAAGAGTTGACTGCTTTTTCTTAACATACAGTTACTTTACTTTGAATATTTAGAACCGAAGAAACGTGCTTCCAATTCCCTGCATTTCTAAAGGGCGACCCTGAAGAAAATTAAGAGAGATGGCTTCCTGTGCCTGACACTTGGTCCCTTTGCTTAATGATTAATATCTTAACCAAAGAAAAGAAGTTATTATAAGTTAGCGACTCAACCCAACCCTCTGTTTTGGACAGAAAAGGCTCTAGTCAACGCCTTCTCCTTTCCCTTCCAGTCTCCAAGGCAGACCCGGAGGGCTCGGCCCGGGCTTCCGCGACAGAGGAAATGGCTTCCAGCCCGCTGCCGGGGCCCAACGACATCCTGCTGGCATCGCCGTCAAGCGCCTTCCAGCCCGACGCGCTGAGCCAGCCGCGGCCAGGCCACGCCAGCCTCAAACCCAACCAGGTGGGCCAGGTGATCCTCTATGGCATTCCCATCGTATCTTTGGTGATCGACGGGCAGGAGCGCTTGTGCCTGGCGCAGATCTCCAACACTCTCCTCAAGAACTTCAGCTACAACGAGATCCACAACCGCCGTGTGGCGCTGGGCATCACGTGCGTGCAGTGCACGCCAGTGCAACTGGAGATCCTGCGGCGCGCCGGGGCCATGCCCATCTCATCGCGCCGCTGCGGCATGATCACTAAGCGTGAGGCCGAGCGCTTGTGCAAGTCATTCCTTGGTGAAAACAGACCGCCCAAGCTCCCCGACAACTTCGCCTTCGACGTGTCACACGAGTGCGCCTGGGGCTGCCGCGGCAGCTTCATCCCCGCGCGCTATAACAGCTCCCGCGCCAAGTGCATCAAATGCAGCTACTGTAATATGTACTTCTCGCCCAACAAGTTCATCTTCCACTCCCACCGTACGCCTGACGCCAAGTACACACAGCCAGACGCAGCCAACTTCAACTCGTGGCGCCGTCATCTTAAGCTTACTGACAAAAGCCCCCAGGACGAGCTAGTCTTCGCCTGGGAGGATGTCAAGGCCATGTTCAATGGCGGTAGTCGCAAACGCGCGCTGCCCCAACCGGGCGCGCACCCCGCCTGCCACCCGCTCAGCTCCGTCAAGGCGGCCGCGGTGGCAGCGGCAGCTGCGGTAGCCGGAGGCGGGGGACTGCTGGGCCCGCATCTGCTGGGGGCGCCCCCGCCGCCGCCGCCGCCGCCACCTCTGGCGGAGCTTGCGGGCGCGCCGCACGCCCATCACAAGCGGCCGCGCTTCGACGACGACGACGACTCGCTGCAGGAGGCGGCCGTAGTGGCCGCCGCCAGTCTTTCCGCCGCCGCCGCTAGCCTCTCGGTGGCCGCCGCTTCGGGCGGCGCCGGAGCGGGCGGGGGCGGCAGCGGGGGCGG